TCACTGCACCCATCCCCTCACTGCACCCACCCCTCACTGCACCCATCCCCTCACTGCACCCACCCCTCACTGCACCCATCCCCTCACTGCACCCATCCCTCACTGCACCCATCCTCACTGCACCCATCCCCTCACTGCACCCATCCCTCACTGCACCCATCCCCTCACTGCACCATCCCCTCACTGCACCCATCTCCTCACTGCACCATCCCCTCACTGCACCATCCCCTCACTGCACCCAGCCCTCACTGCACCCAGCCCCTCACTGCACCCAGCCCCTCACTGCATGCATCCCTCACTGCACCCAGCCCCATCTGTATCCACCCCTCACTGCACCCATCCCCATCTGTATCCACCCCTCACTGCACCCATCCCCATCTGTATCCACCCCTCACTGCACCCATCCCCATCTGTATCCATCCTCTACTTACAACCATCCCTACTTGCAGCCATCTCTATCAGGGCCCAACTAGCTGGATGGGCCCTAGGGAGACTCCAGAGAAACACACACATTTCTTTTGTGGATTTCCACCCTGTTGTTTTAGCAGCTAGAACATGAGACCTTGTCATTGAGGCGTGTCCAGATGCTGGTAATGTTACTCTCAGGCCCTGCTGCTCACACTACCTGAATGACCACTTTCCTCATCCGGCAGACTGAAAAGCATGGGCCTGGATCATCCTGGGCCTATAATTGGGTCAGCTGACCCACCCCAAATCTTCTCCTTTAAACCACCTTGGCCTTCTAACATTAATGGGGAAATAGCTACTTCTCTAAGCTTTCATTTCCAATAGCTATGTAGTAAAATCCCATTTTAATAAGCATGGAGTGAGTGTAAAAATCCCCAAGGGAGCCATCCAAGAAAACCCAGTCACGTTTCCTTCCAGTTTGAAGGCGAGGATGCTAGAAGGAGGCGGGGGCCTGGGAATGGAGGAGCTCCCTGGGTGCCTGTGAAGCTCCATTTCCTCCTATACAGGAAGGAGGGGGGACTCATATGACATGGGTGAAACTGGAGGGCATTACACCTAGTGACCTAAGCTGCCCCCAGAGAACAGATAGCATATGCTCTCAAACCTGTGAAGTATCTAGCATACTCAAAGTCAGAGACAGTGTGAGGGGGGTTGTGACTGTTCCATGGGGACAGATGAAAAACATTCTCGAGGTTATATAAAATGTGAGCTCCCAAATGTGGTAGGATGGCGAATTTCATGTTATTTAAATAACGGAGGTGTGTGTGGAGGTGTTGAATTTGGCCCAACCAGACCCTGCTTTACTGAGAACTGTGGAACATGCCAAAGGGTTTTCAGTCTTTGGCTCTGTAAACTTCAAGCAATCCACTGCCTTCCACTTCTTCCCAATGGTGTGTTGATACAGCAAGTGCTCATTTGTTAGGAATATTAATTCATGATTCTTGCATGCACTAGAGAACAAGCGTTGTAGGGACCCTTGTGAAGACACTGGAAACAGGACATGGTTATATCATCCCACGTTCCATGCCTGGCTTAAGCACATGGCCACTAGCTAGCCCAATGAGTTCTGCATGCTTCTATTTCCTTCTTCTTCCTCCAATGTCTTACAGGCAGCTTTCCCTTGGAACAGCTTTGGGCCACACTGCTAGGGAAGCCTTGTGGAATGCCTTGGTCCCAGCAGGCAAGAAGGGATGTGGAGTCTGGTGTTCAGTTCTACAGGGCTGCAAACACTCTGGCTTTTCATCTGTTCAGAGAAGATGAACAGTGTTTTAGATGAGTGTGGGGAGTGAAGAGCATGATTCTGTGGGCGCCTGGGTCTGGTCTATGCGGAAACACACACAGATGGAAAGTTGCTACTTCAACTCTACCCCAGACTTTGTTCTGGGGAGCCGGGTGACTAGCTCATGAGGGCCTGGTGCTCTTCTCAGTAGGAAATGGGTTTGGGCAGAACACACAGAGAGGCGTCCAGGTACACGTTGAGGGAGGGACATGCTAAGTTGGTACCACATGTTTAGAATAAGACTCCTAATTCCCCGAGAACAATGACTTGTTCAGTGAGTGGATCCAGGAGAGCCTCGGGCAGACTCTATTTGGAACTGGCATCTGGTCAAGTGGAAGAATTGTTTCTTTAAAAAAAAGAAAAGTGAATAACAGAAGGCTAGCAGACTGCTTTCCCAGTGCCTCTGTTGGGTTGCAGCTCCCCCGTGTCTCAGGAAAAAGGGCAGAAATCCCAAGGCTGTTTTGATGGATATATTCTGGTCTGCTTGCTCTGACCTCGTCAATACATAGGTCCTTGCCATTGCACAGACAGAATAGGAAACACTCACCTCCATATCAGGAGGTGGCAATAAAAACCCCAAGCCCTTCACCTTTCCAAGCCTATAGAATAGCAGTGTTTAGACTGCACATGGGCCTCATCTTCCTGACACACAAAGGCAAGGTCTTGAAGCCTAACAGCACAGAAAAGCTCTGTAGGGAACCCCCATTGAGGCAGCAGTACCGGCCGCTTGAAATAAGAAGGTTGCAAATGTTTATGCCCTTCTATCAGACCAAAGGGTCTTACAGAGCTGATGTTTATTTTTCTGGCTCGGGGAGTAGAGTCACCATTATAATGAAATAGGTAATAGAATAAAAATACTTTCTAAATCAAACGCTCTGTCCAGCTCAGCCCATGCTCTGTCAGCTCTGAGATGAACATGCAGGAACCCTTGCTGACCACACTTCCTCCTCAGTTGCTGTGAGAATCCTCCCCGGTTTGTTTTCCTTCGTCTTGGCCCATCCTGCCCCAGGTCAGCCTGCAGCAATTATGAGTGAACCTTGTGATCTGCAGTGTGGCATGCAGGGCTGCGTTTCTCTTCTTTCTCCTGGAGGGTGGAGGGAGGGACCAGGGCTATGCGGCAGATAGCGCTACTGACATATCACACACATGGCCATCCCCCTGTCCCAGGAAGGACTTGTTCTCACAGTAGCACTGTGCTTAGTAAACCTGATTGTGTCACCCCCACAACAGCCTCATGTATAAGTGGCACATTGCATAATGCACAGCTCCTCTGGGGATTTTGGATCCTGCCATAGCTAATTTTGTGTGTCAGTTTGACTGGGTTGTGGGGTGACATGTTCTAGCCAGACCTCTTGGTTGCTTCTGTAAAAGTATTTTGGATGAATATCATTTAAATTGCTAAGATGAGCAAAGGAGATTGCTTTTCCATGAGGATGGGCCTCAGCTAATCACTTGAAGGGTAGATAGCATAGAAAGGCTGGCCCTTCCAAGAGTAACAGAATTCAGCCTGGTGTCTGTCAAACTGAGATGTGGGCCTTTTCTGTCTCCAGACTCAAAATGAAACATCAGGTTGTCCTTCATTTTAAGCCTGTTGATCTTTATATTTCAACCATTAACACCACTGGGTTCCTAGCCTTTTAACTATACATCTCAGGACTCAGCCTCCACAACTATATGGAGAAATTACTGTGTAAAAATGCCCTTATTCTGTTTCTATGGAGAACTGTCTTAGTTACTTTTATATTGCTGTGGGAGACGCCATGACCAAATCAACTTATAGAAGAAACAGTTTATTGGGAGCTTATAGTTTCAGAGGGTGAGTCTATGATCATCATGGTGGGGAGCATGGCAGCAGGCAGACAGACATGGTGCTGGAGCAGTAGCTGAGAGTTCACATCTTGGGACAACAACCATAAGGCAGAGAGAGAGAGCAAACTTGGAATGACATGGGCTTTTGAGACCTCAAAGCCCACCCCCAATGACACACCTTTTCTAATAAAGCCATGCCTCCTAATCCTTCCCCAAAAGTTCCACCAACTAGGGCCCAAGTATTCAAACATATGAGCCTGTGGGGGCCATTCTCATTCAAGCCACCATAAGGACCTTTAAAACTACCCTTTGCGGCCTCTTTGCCTCTATCACCCTACCACAGCACAGCAATATTCTTGGATATGTCCATGTCCTTGGCCTGGTGAAGCTGGCAGCTTCAGGGTCTGCACTTTCCTCTTGGAAAGGGTTTCAATTTTTTCAACCTGGAAAAGAACATGAATGACATCAGGACCTGCAGGGCCACACCACTCATCTACATCTGTGATACATGCACCAGACACATATTCTGTGATCTCTGGAGTTACAAACACATTGATGGCGTGGAGCATTATCCGGCTCTCACACGGCTCTGCAGTGATGGAATTAGTACCAACAGCAGCACGATCAGTCTCAACTTCCCAGATGAGGCAGCAGATGTGAACAATGTAAGTTATACGGGCCATTAGAGCCTGGACTTGAGACTATGTGGCTCCATGTGCTCATTGGCTTGCCTCTGACTATTACTGGCTCTCATCCCCAACATGCCAAGCATCTAGACCAGCGTGTCCTAACTCCCAGGCAGGAGAATGGGTTTGCATCTCCTGATAGCTGCACACTTGGCAAAGTAAAAAGACAATGTGCTCTCTGTGATTTCTGATGCTTATGGTGCTGCTTCTGATGCAGCTGAGTAAGCACCAGTGACTGGGCCCTCAGGCACCATGCACTGTGGGTCACTCTGTGGATGGCTCAGTCCTAAGACACCATATACTGTGGTCCACACTGTGTGATCTACAAGTAAGCATCTGACAGGTGTTTATTTGCTCCGGAACGGAAGAGTGAATTTAAAGTCTCCCTGGAAGGACCACCCAGAATTCCTCTTCTCTGGAGCTCATTCGCTCAGAGTGGCCATTGTAGGGGATGTTGATGTGTGTGTGTGTGTGTGTGTGTGTGTGTGTGTGTGTGTGTGTGTGTGTGTGTGTAGGGCCAGTGAATTTGGCTTCCCTCCAGGCCTTGCAAGCAAGAAGTACTTTGACAAGAGTTTAGTTTCTAATTTCCATGTGGTAGAAGAGATGCAAAACTTGCAACGGGCTTCTCTTCGAGGGACAAGCAAGAATCGATGAGGGGGGCATCCAAAGGGGGCAGGTCACCTCTGCATGACCCTTGTGTGAGCTTTGCAGCAAGGGAATGGGCACAGGGAGGGGCAAACAATGGGAGCAGGCCTCCTCTGAGGGTGGTGGTGACGTCAGACTGCAGGTGAATGCTGTCTGTGGGAACGTATTGCGAATGAGCACAGTGAGTCAGTTGGCTAGCATGTGAATTAGCTGGAGAAACAGCCCAGAGACAACAGTATCTGCAGGAGAGTGTGGGCAGCTTGCCGCCGTTCTTTATGTCATCTGAGTTGTGTGGTGACAGATGAGAGCAGGCAGCAGGGCCCAGGAGACCATCAGAGAGAGACACCTGGTGACTGCATTTAGACAGTATGGGTCTCAATTTAAAAAAATAGAAAATCAAGTAACTCCCCATCCTGAGGGCATTTAGCAATGTCTATTTTGGTTGTCACAGCAGAGGAGGAGGTGCTGGTGATGTCTATTGAGTAGAGACTAAGGATACTGCTCAAGTGCTCTGATGGTACCCACAGCAAAGAATTGTCAATGTGTTGGCAGTGGTCAGAAGCTAAGAAACCAGGCTGGGGGGGGGCACAGTGCTACACTTCTGTAACTGCAGCACCCAGTAGGCAGAAGTAGGTGGGTTCTGAGCTCAAGACCAGTCGAGGCTGTGTGCTAAAACTGTCTCAAAAATCAAGATAAAACACAAGCAACAGCGGCAACACCAAGTCAAAACAGATTTAAAACAAATAAGCAAACAAATTCAACCCAGGCTTCGACAGTGATGGTGAATGTTCCCTCAGCAAATCATAACCACATTCATTTACATCTATCAGTTGCACTATCGGGATCTGAGATTCCTGCTCTCCTTACTGAGAGAAGAGCGCCCACAGCGCACTGGGAGAGCTCAGTTCATGCTCACTCTGCCTGTGAATGGTCCAGCTCTTTCTCTCAAGCCAGCTCCCTAAGGGTCCATCTGTCCTTCTGGAAATTGGGGAAAAGCATCATATCATCTGGAACGGATTAGTTTGTGTCCAGTCTCTCAGTGCACCCAGCCCCATGCCCTGTCCATGGAAAGCAATGAATGGATTTTTGCAACTGGCCGTGGCCACTGAGGCCTGCCAAATACTCCATTTTCAAGTTTATCTTAGGCTCAGGCAGCTAGGCTCCTAGGGCATTTTTCTGCTGGAGAATCTCCTAGAAGAAAAGCCAGAGCTCCATTAGTGACCTTTCCCTGTCTCATAATTTGCCTCCCTGAGATTCCGGCAGTTTCTCATGTTTATGGCCTTCAGATGCCACCGGAAGCACTTCCTAGCCACCTACACTGTCATCCCTGCTCACATCCAAACACTTGCTGTGTCCTTCTACGGACTGACTCAGTGGGTGATTCTGAACATGGACTCTCTTTCCCACAGCTCCAGGGACACTGTGTGGTGGTACGACCCCACCCCTCACTTAGATTATGGGGCAGGTGGGCGTGCACAGTCCTGAGAACTGGATTCAATGCTCTTGTGAAACCATGCAGGTGCTGGTGTGAGCAGGGAGACAAAAGACTCCCTGTGCCTGCCAGAAGGGGAAGGGACGGAGTTGAGGAGGGCTACATTTTTAACTGGCTTCAAAAAGCACAGGAGGTGACCAGATGGACTGGTGTGCCTCGAGGGAATTCTTTCTCCACCTTTTAGCCAAGAAAGGAAGCTGTGGCGTCCACATGGCTTCCCACGACTTTCACATTCTGGAATTAGTGGAGAAACACCCAGCTCCCTGAACTTTGAGGCTCCACCACCTGGATCCCACTCAGCCCCATCATGCCCACACCCATGAAGGCAGAAGTTCTAATCCTCAGGCCAGGGTGAGGCGCTCAACTTTGCTGTGACTTCTCCATTTGGACAGCACCCTTACCCAGGAGTCAGTTATAATGCCAATGGCTACCTTCCCCAAGAACTGGTTCCACAGTGCTGGGGTGGGCTGAAGGCAGGGGCAGGATGGGTCCCTTGCTTTTGTGATTTCGTATCATACTGAAACTTGGTGGCTGATTAAGGCTGGTGCCTAACTGAGTCTTCATCCCTCATTCGCTCCTTGAGTCTGTGCAAAGTATCTGGAAAATAAGCCTGTGTGTTTGCAACACCCTCTCTACACAGTGAGCATGCTCAGTGTGAGCAAAGCCCTTGGCTCAATACCCACAGCACCAAAAAAAAAAAAAAAAAATGGAAAAGTAACTGAATCCTTTGGAGGCCCACCAGCATTCAGCTTTTAGCGGTCTTCCTAAGCACATAGATTTCTATGGTGCAGAGGGGATATTAAAGTTCAAAGCGACCCAGAAATCAGGTTGAAGATGGTAAACGATCAGGTCTTAAGGGAATAAGAGAATTTTTTGGATTGAGGCAGAAATGTCTGAAATCTAGATATTTAACCTCGTCTGGGTGAATAGGTATAGGGGTTTCACAGAACAGCCTGGGGTAGGGTCCTCTGGGATGAAGTTTATGTGATCGGGAAGGTCATAGCCAACCCCAGTGGTTGGAGCCCATGATAGCACATCTGCTTTTGATTGTGGCGGGTTCTGAGCGCAAGGCTTAGGGCACAACGCCACCTGAAGGAAGCAACAGGAAGCCTGTCTGTGAGTCTGGATGCTCCCATGGTGGGAGACCAGCTGAGCCTGTGGCTCTGGACAGACACCGGGGCTTTGTCTGGGGCCTGGGCTTGCTCTCTCAGGCCCCACACATGGAATCTTCTGCAGCCTGCTCAGGATCCACGAGGACCAGTGAGGCCGAGCAGCTGGGGCAGGTGGAAGCTGCAGAGGATCTTCTCCAACGGGAGACACCACAGTCGTTCAGATGGAAAATTCTAGAATCAGACTCAAACTGATATTTCAGTCCTTTTAACACTACTCTGGCCCTCATGTGACCTCAAGAGCCTCCACTCCTGGTTGACAGGGAGGTTTGGGGAGACACGGTATGCAAATGTAGAGCACAGCGTTGAGAACCCACTGATGAATCACACTGGGCTATTGTTATTTTCCAGTCCAACTCTGGCTTCGTCCAGTCCATGTGGGGAGACAGAATGACCCTTAATGCTTTCTTTTCTACAAGAAAGAAGGAAGGAAAAAAAACCCACCTGGGATTATGTTTAGAATGGAGGAAGCTGTGCTGGGGTGAGCGGCATTTGCTTCCTGCTGGGCACAGATGTGAGGCTCTGCCCCCTCTTCTAGCAAGTGCACTTGAATCCCGGCAGGCATGAGCAAGGGCCACAGTCACGTGAGCAGAGGCTGGAAAAGCTGCAAAAACATACATGGCAGAACAGGCAGAGGAGGAGAGGCTGGCCCCAGGAGGTCTCCACAGCGGCCTGGGACACAGATTCCTTGGAATACTGCAGAGCATAAGGCTATGTAAACAAGAGATCAAAACCACGGCCTGCCTGGCCTTCAGCATGATAAATGTTTGTCCTGCGTGTGCAACAGCGTCGGACCCACCACCATCTTTTTGTAGTTTGAGTTTTATGAGGACACTGGAGAAAACTCACTGGTGAGGGTTGGGAACTTTTCAAGCTGGGGTCTTCTTGGTGGCTAGACCCACCTTCCAAGGGCAGACAGCCCCCTGCCTTTTCAGAGCTCAACTTGCCCGAGTGACCCCTCCTAAGCCAGGGACTAGGCGAGTTGCTCAGACTTTCATCGTTCTAAGGCAGCTTGGGATCCCTCCCCCACAGCGTGGGAAGAAGTGACTCCTTGTCTAAACCGTGCCCCATCCCCAGACCACAGAGGGCCTGCCCATGAGCTCTGCAAAGCGGAGTTTAATGAGAAGAAAAACAGTTCGGCCAGGTGCGCCGGGCTCCTAAAATCCAAGGAAGTCTCAGCCGCTCTTCCCGTCACATTTGCTGCTGACCATGACTGCAGTGAGACCAAAGCCTCTTCCCCCAGCCTGGCTGTCCGTAGCTCTGCCCTGCACAGCCTTAACTCAGAGGTCTCCAGAAGGAAGCATGGCCGGAGACTTCCTGCTGCAAGTCTGAAGCACGGGCATCTTCAGGTCCTATCTTCATGTGAGATTGACTCCAGCCAGTTTCTGTGGACAGATAGACCGGCAGATAGACAGACATCAAACACACAACAGGGCCCAGTGAGGTACCTCAGCGGGTAAAGGCGCCTGAGTTCAATCCCTGGTACCCACATGGTAGAAGGAGAGAACCTACTCCAGCAAGTTGTCCTCTGACCTTCAGGCATGTGCCCTAGCACCTACATACACTCACTTGTATGCACGTACATGCATAAACGCACACACGCACGCGCGCGCACACACACACACAACCAAGTAAATAAATAAATAAATGTAAAGAAAAATTGAAAGGAAAAAAAAAGACTCTGTGATATTTTAATCAACTACAAAATTAGACAACAGATTAACCGATAGTTAATCTGGCCGAGTCGCTCCCAAGGTTGGAGCAGTCTGTAAGATGCAGTCACTTTCCTCTCACTATCAAGACTGAAAATCTTATCATCTCTCTTTGACCATCTGTCATTCTGTCTTTTTCTGTCACAAGTGCCAATTTGTCCCAACTCCAGTTCTTTCTTTCGTTATCAAAGTGCCATCAGTAAGAGAAAGCCTTTCAGCTGAGTTTCAGGCTTTCTGATTTTGTTGTCTGGGACCCATGCTGCAGTGTTTGCAGACAGAATGTGATTACCGACCTTAAACCTCAGAGAAAGCACACGGATCCACTCGGGTGAGTGAACAAAATGGAGAGCAGAGGACAATGTTGCATTCAGGCTGTGCAGTGGAGATGGCACAGGTAGTGCAGGCATTTCAGAGGAGCGTGTGTGTGTGTGTGTGTGTGTGTGTGTGTGTGTGTGTGTGTGTATGCATTTGTGTGTGTGCATGCATGTGTGTGTGCATGCATGTGTGTGTATGTCTGTGTAAGTGTGTGTGTGCATGCATTTGTGTGTGTATGTGTGTGTAAGTGTGTGCATGCATTTGTGTGTGTATGTGTGTGCGTGTGTGCATGCATTTGTATGTGTGTGTGTGCATGCATTTGTGTGTGTGTATGTGTGTGTGTAAATGTGTGTATGTGCATGCATTTGTGTGTGTGTGTATGTAAGTGTGTGTGTGTGTGTGTGTGTGCGTGCATTTGTGTGTGTATGTGTGTGTTTGTGATTTCAGGATGGCTTATGTGTATTCAAGTTTTCTTTCTGTTGTTGTGATAAAATACTCTAACCAAAAGCAATCTAGGGAAGAAGGGGTTTATTTTGTTTTATAGGTTTCAGTCCATCATCAAAGGAAGTCAAGCAAAAACTCAAGAAAGAATCCGAAACAGAAACCCTGAAGGAATGTGGCCCATTGATTCCCAGGCCCATGCTTAACTAACTTTCTTATATAGCCCCAAACTACCTACCTAGGGATGGTGCTGCCCACAGTGGGCTCAGGCCCTCAACATCAAACAGCAATTAAGATAACCCCCTAGCAACATGTCCACAGGCTAATCTGACCTAGACACTTACCTCGATCAAGACTTTCCTCTCAGATGACTCTAGGGCAGTGGTCCTCAACCTTCCTAACACTGCAACCCTGTAATACAGTTCTTCATGTTATGGTGACTCACAACCATAAAATTGTTTTGTTGCTACTTTGTAACTGTAATTTTGCTACTGTTATGAATCATAATGTAAATATCTGGGGGTCACAACCCACAGGTTGAGAACCACCACTCTAGGCAGTGATACTTAAAGCTAACTAGCATGGTGCGGGTGTCACTCCTGGCAGATTTAGTCCTGGGTATTCAGAGGCCCCACCTCCAGGCCTTCAGCTCTCAAGTCCTTTCAGCTTTCTCTGTCTCCCTATGCTGCCTGACTAGGTGTCCTTGGGACCAAAAGCTATATCACAGATCCTGACACCGGGGCTGGACCAAAGGATTCAATAGACCTCAGATCCCAGCCCAGGAGGGACTCAGTTGATGGTTCCCCTCTGGCTGGGGCCCTTCTGTTCTATACTCAGTTTCTCATCTGCTAGCTTGGAACTACCAATTTCTCAGGGTATGATTTCTATGACCTAATGAAATAACACACACAACAAGTGTTTAGAAAGTAGCAAACACTTTTCTGGGTTGTCTAGTCCATCCCTGAAGGAGCACGCTCAAATAGAGGTCTGGGGATTGGGGTCGAAGGCATTCATCAGCACTGGTCCCCTTCTCTGGTACCAGATGTTTTCATGACACCTTTGTGCCCTGCCCTGCACCCAAAAGATGCAAATATGAAGGAGGGACATTGTCCCTAAGCTCCAGGGTTTCATCATTCCCTGAGAAAGCAGACAACATCTTAGTTCTTTTCTTCCCAGAAAGCCAAAGATGTGGGTTGTCACTGTCTGAAGCTGCAATGACCAGACTGAGCACCTCAATAATTCTTACATGTAAGCCTTGCCCCCAGCACCTCAGAAAGAGGCCTTTATGGAGACGGTCAGATTCGAAGAGGTCCTACAGGTAGACTCTTCTCCCACATGACTGATGCTCCTACAGAGGAGGAGATCAGGACACAGAGGCATGGAGGGCAGATGGGAGACAGAACCTCTGGAGAAGCTGGCCTGTCTGACATCTTCAACTTGAACTTTAGCCTCCAAGACTGTGGGGTAGTGCACATCTTCTGTTTAAGTCTCAGTCTGTGATATTTGTTATGGCAGCTAAGCTGACTTATACAAGGCTGTGCACTCCTTTGGGCCTGGCTCTGTACTGTTCATGTATACGGTAAATAGGAGCAGTCTTGCTCACAGTGGGACAGGTGGGCGAAGGAACAGAGCAGGAAGTTTGGTGAGGAGGTCTGTGGGGAGGTGAGCCCGGAGAGGTGATCTATGGAAGGCAGCCACTGGGCTCTATTGTGAAAGTCAGTTGCTCTTCAGCATTTTCTGCAAGGGCTGATGTCACTGGGTCTGGACTCCTAAGGAACTATGGTGACAGTTTCTCAATAAGGACCCAAGATTCAACTGGCTCCAGGGGGAGCTCATCGGGGCTCAGGAACAAGAATAGACTCAGGAGACCTCTGCCAGTCTCCCTCCCCTCCTATGTGGGAAGCAGAGTATGAGCAAGAAGCCCTACGTCATGATCTCTCTGAGATTGACAGACGCAGGTGAAGGGTAGGCAGGGCTAACAGCCTCAGTCAGCTCTTGATCAAATAGAAGCCAATGCAGGGGAGGCACCAGGGACAGGGACAGGGACAGGCCACATGTAGACTGATGCCGAGAGCCAAGCCGTCTCTGGATTTGGTAATAAGGCTGGACCCTGGTCTCAGGGGAGCCCAAGTAGGAAAAACTCATTCAAGTGGAGCCTGAGAGGCACCAGCTACTTCTGTCACTTGTGACTCTTTGGCATTCCACAAAAGCAAAACAAAAACCACTACCTACAAGCCAAGGAGCCCAGGGCATGCCCCTTCTAAATAAAGGCCATTCGTTTCTTTAATTTAATTAGAAAGGATTTTGTTTCTGGCTTCCTTCTGAGGCTCTGATGACTGGGTGGCTCTGCAGCTGTGAAGTTTCGATTAAGGGAAGAATTTGGGTTAGGAACACGAGAGCTGCACCAAGATTGTGGCTTCTGAGTCGGAGGGCTTGGGAAGGGGAACATCATACTCCGAGTTCTTGAGGTTTCCAGTAAGCAAGGCACCCATCTGCTCACCCAGGCCTGGAAGCCTGTTACAATGCATTCCTTGTTATGTTTAGAATTTAAGATGATATTTTTTCTATTTTAGTTAATGGCCTGAGAATGAGATTTTGGTTGTTGGCAATAAATTGCATATTGGGGGATATTGGTGCAGAGGGACTCTAATTCAGTCCTTTTATAGTATCCTTTCCCCCTCTGGCCTGGAGAATTCCTTTAAGGTGGTGGGGGTGATTAATGACCCCATGTGCCTGTGTACACACAGGGCCCACGCGTCCTCAGAATGAGGAGCCCAGGGATCCTGGAGAACGGCCCTGCAGCAGAGGAGGGAATCGCAACAGCACATTCTCTGCCAAGTTCCACCCCAGTGCAAACAGGGATGAATAGATTAATCGATGGAATGTGCTCCAGGCTGTGTCCTCAAATGCGCAGGCCCAGCATCCCTCCTTCTGCCCCAGAACAATAAAGGAGACAGAAGGCATAGAAAATTCCTCTTCTTAAAAATCCTCTTCTTCCTCGTCTCCCTCTTTCTCCCCTTCTCCCTCTTTCTTCCCCCCCCATCTCCTCTCCCTTCTGTTCCTTTTATTTTAAAAGGAAAATATCTGCTTGATATTTAAGCAGCATACCAGACACTGGATGCAGAAGATGGACTCGGTGGGCCAGTCACTTTTCATCTCTGACACGATGCCTGAGAAGATGACCTGTAGGAGGGAAGATTGATTTTGGCTCACATGTTCAGAGGTTTCGATCTGTGTCTGGGCTCCAGGGCTATGAGCCTGTTTTATCAGCTCAGGGCAGACCGGAAGCAGAGGAAGCAAAAGGAAGATGAGTAGGCCCCACCTCCTAACAGTTCATTTGACTACAAACTCATCAATAAACTGATCTATGGATAAAGGTAGCATAGTCATGATTTAACCTCTCAATTTGGGAGCCAAGGTTTCAATACAGAGGGCTATTAAGTATATACTTTATGTTCAAATCAAAATAAGATATGGAAAGAATCTTCTTGTTGAGTGTTCCTGCACTGCCAAGCAGAAGGGTAAGGGACTCCAGGCCACAATGGAAAGAGCCACAACTGTATCGATGCTTGACATCACATGTCTGGAAGGTAAAGTTATGGGGTCTGAGTCAGCTCAGAAGACATAACAGGGGACATGGATAGGATGGAGTAGAAGGTGGCCTAGACAACATACATTTATATGTCCACTAAGAGTTTAAATTCATGTCTACAGAAAATGGGGCTATGGGGTGCTCTAGAGTAGGAAAACTCAGATAGGACAGACACTGAGAGCTGCACACACTCTGTAGTTGTGTGTGTGTGGGGGCGGGGGAGAGAAGCATCAAGATTAACAGATTAATAAGACAGTTGACAAAAGAAGACTGGAAACTCCTTTGACCTCAGGCTACATGTAACAAAACACAGTATGTTCAAGCTGGTAAGATAACCCAGAGAAGGCTGGTGCTATGTAAATGGCTTAGGAGAACTGTTCATTTTTGTTCCACATTGGAAAAACCAACAAATTAGGTTCTGACATCAGCAGCAGCAGAAGCAGCAGCAGCAGCAGCAGCAACAACAACAACAATAGCAAGATAGATGCATTTGCTAGCAAAGAGAGAAGGCAGGTAGGCAAACACCTTTCCCCTTCCGACCTCCTTATATTTGGGAGACTACCTCAAGGTGGTGCCCAATCTGGGAGAAGGTTCTCCTCCCCAACCCCACTTAATCATTTCAGGAAATACTCTTACAATTCTGTCTATGGGTATGTCTCTCCATTGATTCCAGATCCAATAGAGCTGACAACCAGGATTAACTATCAAATTTCTGTCTTAGTTACTTGTCTGATAGCTGTGACAACATACCCAACAAAAGCCACTTCAGGAAGAAGGTTTTGGGGGAGCTTACAATTCTAGGGTACAGTCCGTCATGGCAGCAGGATTTTAAGGCAGTTGGTCACAGTGCATCCACAGTCAAGAAGCAGATAGCCATGAATACAGCCCCTTTCATTCAGTCTAAGGGCCCACTCAAAAAATGGTGCCACCCATTGTTAAAGTGACTCTTCCTACCTCAGTTAACCTAATCTAGACAATCCCTCACAGGGGTGCCTAGCTGACAGCTATTACTAACCATAACATGGTGGAGATGCCTTGTCCACAGACTTTTCTCTTTCAAGCATGGAGACCCTTTCTTACTTGAGAACCTACTACCACCATTTACTAGACCAGCACAATTCCTTACCACATTCCTAATACTTAAACCCACAGATAAATGTAACTCTCAATCTCATCAGAGAAGCTTCTCTCTGCAGCAGGCAGAAACCATCATAGAAAATCATGACAGGTCAAAATGCAGAGAACAGCTGCTCATGGGGTGCCCAGCCCCAGCGTCTACAATACAACTCCTATACCAAAGGTGCAGGGAACATTATGGAATAGGGGAGAAGAAAGAGTGTGAGACCCAGAGGACCAGGAAGCCTGCTGTGAGATTGTGTCTCCTAAAAATGGCAGGGATGCTACACCCATGATCCTTCAATACTGTGCCTTAAACAAGAACTGAACAGCGACAACACCAGTTGACATGCTGACATGAAAGGGGGAACTCCCAAGGGGCCCCACCCTAGACAAAGGACCACAGGCATCTGATGACTTCTGAGAGAGGGAGAGCTAGTCTTCCCAGGGATGAGTCCCCTGACTAGTTACCTAATGCCAAGTGGTCAGCCTTGAAATCATATACAAATAAACAACATTAAATGTACCCATCAGGTTGTATTTATATATTTATATTAATGCATAAGTGTCCGTGTATGTCCATGTGTGTCTTTGTGTGTGTGTGTGTGTGTGTGTGTGTGTGTGTGTGTGTGTGTGTGTAAAATAATAAAAGGAAAAAGAAGCCAGGAATTTGAGGAGTAAGAAGGGGGGCCTGTACGGGGTTGGAGGGAGAGGACACAAGAGGTATTGGAGGAAGGAAAGAGAAGAGGAGAAATGATGTGATATTTTAATTAAAATAAAAAATATTGAAAGGTTTTTTTTTTCCCAGACCCCATTTTCCTTGGCCCAGACTTGAAAAAAACACTGTGCAACCTGGGCCCATCCTCTTTTCTCTGGAAAAGATCAGTTAATCCATCTCATAGCTAAATTTTCATGTGTTCTAGCTTTAGTCTCGTGGCCATAGTGGGGAGAAATTAAAACCTACCTCCTTTGACAAAACTGGAAGTAAAATATGTTTTAATTTACTAATTTTTGTTTAATTCATTTGTAATACAGAGAAAATGATATGAAAAGTTTACAGACCTGAGTGCCCAGGAAATATTGCACCTTTTCCTATGTATATAAATAGAGTAAAATGTAATTAATATGTTAGACAAAACAGGAAATTAACAAAAGTAAATAAAAACAAAGCCAAAAATTATAACAATATTTTGCTAGCTAGGTTTTTTTCCTCCTCCCCCTCCTCCTCCTCCATCTCCTCCTTCTCCTCCTCCTCCTCCTCCTCCTTCTTATCAACTTGACGCAAGCTAGAGTCATCTGGGAAGAGGGAATGTCAGTTGAGGAACTGCTTCCATCAGCTTGACCTTTAGGCAAATAAATGGGACATTTTCTTGGTTAATGATTGATATTCGAGGGCCCAGATCACTGGGGCTGGCGCCATCCATGGGCAAGTGGTCCTAGATTGTATAAGAAGGAAGCCGAGCGAGCCATTGAAAGCAAGCCAATAAGCATTGTTCCTTCATGGCTTCTTCACTTTCCCTTCCTGCCTCGACCTCCTGCCCTGGCTGCCCTTGATGACAGACTCCAACCTGTAAGCCAAATAAACCCTTTTCTCCATAGGTTGGTTTTGGTCAATGGTTTATTAGAACAATCAAAAGCAAACTAGAACAGAAATACTACTATAAAAGTTACACAAATGCACTTTTTCCTTAAATTTTAATTGTTAAAAAACACGTATTTATTTATCTTGGAGGGGGAGAATGCATGCCACAGTGTGTGAATGGAAATCAGAGATCAACCTTTGGGAGTCAGTGCTCTCCCTCTGTCCTGTGGGCTCTGGGGGTGGGGCTAGAGTTGTCTGGCTTGGTTGCAAGCACCTTTGTTCTCTCTCTCTCTCACTCTCTCTCTCTCTCTCTCTCTCTCTCTCTCTCTCTCTCTCTCTCTCTCTCTCTCACACACACACACACACATACACACACAAATAAATAAGTGCACTTTTATCACATTTTTATTTCTTTGTGTGTGTGTGGGCATGCATGCAGGACACACGTGTGGAGGTCAGAAGACCGCTTGAGGGAACTGGTGCTCTCCTACTGTGTGGTCTTGGGGATTGAACTCAGATCATCAGACTTGGCAGCATGTACTTTTAGTCTAAGCCATCTCCCTGGCCCCAGTAAATGATTTAAGAAAGGTCACTGGGGATGGCCTGTCCCTTGCAATCAGCTCTGAGCCCACTCATTTTGGAAGGGAAAAGCAGAGGTGGGTAAAGGGAGGGGATATTACAATGGCTCTTCCTTAAAGCCTGGAGTGCTGTGTGAAGGAGGGAGCCAACGCTTCAGTTGTCCTGTCTTAAGATGCAAAGTACTGTATGTAAGGGAGGAAGGCGGAAGCTTTGCTGAGGCCATTTAAGGAAAGGCTATTTTCTCCTGTAAACCATGGCTACTTTTATAGATTTATTTAATTTTATTTTATTTTTTTGAGACAGGGTTTCTCTGTGAAGCAGTCCTGGCTGTCCTCGATCTCACTCTGTGGACCAGGTTGGCCTCAAACTCACAGAGATACGCCTGCCTCTGGCTCCTGAGTGCTGGGATTAAAGGCATGGGCCACTACCACCCAACACAGATTTATTTTTATTTTCTTTAACTTTTTTTAAATGCTATGTTATATGATTTAGGGTTAAAAGAATGGAACCTGAATTATGTGTGGTCTAGGGTGGAGACTTGTCTTTCTCAATTTATAATCCAAGAGGATCATAAAATTACTATCTAGCAGGAGGCATTCTAGGAAAGAACAAAGACATAATATTGTCTCCTCCCTTTGAGTTAATGCAGATGGGCCTGACAGTCACCTGGACAGGAAAATATGCCCAGGAGGCTGTTGCTGAGACTTCAGAAAATAACCCTAACCTTAAATGCGCAGGTCAGCACAAGGGTCCCTCTGGCCACTGGCCGCCCTCCCCTTGAGAGTGTCCTCCTATGCGATGGTCTCTCCAGCCACTGTCTGCTCTCACTTTTGGTAGCATTTCAAATGGCTCGTTAACAAGCCTTACCTTCCTTTTAGTCCGCGTTCCGTGTCTCCTATGGGTTTTCTATGGCTTCTTTCAGTGCAGTCACAGCACTGGAGAGTGGCAGGCAAGTCAGAGAAAATCCAAGTGACAACATTTCGGTGATGGTGAGGTAAAAGCAGTTCATGAATTCTTGAATTCACCAAGGTCTACATAAAACTCTCTTCCCAGAAATCCAACGTTTACAAATGAAGCTCATTCCTATTCCCAACTGAGAAAGAGAATTGGATAGTCAGGGGAAAAAGTAAGCAAAGCATTATAAAATTAGCATATGAAAGAAACCAGTTGCCAGAGAGGATATCTTGACTCTGCATGAGAGTACACACACACACACACACACACACACACACACACACACACACACACACACACACTGGTCTACTGAAAATTCGTGGCCAAGCACTGCCTGTTAGGGTTACCAGGGCCCAGTCTAGGACCCTAACAACTCTGGTAACAATTGTGGTGAGCCATATATATGTAGGGCTCCCAGAATTCCCGCTCCCCTAACACAGACACGCAGCTTCCTAAGGCTGCTCACTTTCCTGAGTTACTCAGAGAGTCGTAATGTTTCCTCTTGGTCATTCTTTTTTCTAAGACTGCATTCCTCAACACACTGGGTTTCCCTCCTAGTCATGTGGATGCCTACCACCACATGGCTGACCTGCATGCTGCCTTAACTCAGCTGGCATGGCCTTTTCCTCCCTTCTCTTCTCTATTCTTCTTTTCCAGGCAACTGCCTGTCCTGGATTTTTTATTTTAAACTCAAACGAAATTGTCCTGGAGTTTTTGTTTGAGTCGATTGTCAAATTCTTTTAATAAGGAGACTAAGAACCCCAAGAAAGGAACTTAGATTTCTCTTTCATCATTAGACAACACAAATGGAACACCTCACAGATTTTAGGTACCATTATGCCGCATTATGACAGATCGTATTGATTTGGAAGCTCCTTTGAGCAAATTTGGAGTTTTAAACTTGGTGGGTGTGTGCTGTAGGCTAGAAGAGTTTAAGTCTTTGGAGTTCTGCTGAAAGGTGATAGAAAACCGAGAACCACGGATGCTGAGGACATCCTATTATGATTGTGTAAGCATGGAAAATACCAAGTCTGCACTGTCCATCGACTCCAATGGACTAATCTAAAGGTACCATGGCTTCTGAAGCCCGAAGGTCATCTCTTCCTAGGGTTCCTGAAAACAACTGGCTGACAAATCTCTTCACTTTTTTATTTCTTTTTTTGAGTTTATGTCCCCCCCCCCACACACACACACAGAAGCCAGGCCAGGGCATTGGGTGTCCTCCTTTTCTACTCTGCCTTATTTCTTTCAGGAAGGTCTCTCCCTGAACCTGGAGCCCCTGTTTATTAGATATTCTGGCAGCCAGCAATCCCAAACAGTTCACTTCTCTCTGTCCCTTACGACAAAAGTTATAGGCACATGTAACTTTTGTCAGACCATGCCTGGCTTGTCTGGGTGTGGAATCAAACCTCAGGGTTATACAGCGAATGCCCTTCATTACTGAGCCATCTTTCCAGTCCTTATCAGGCTTTTGGCTATGTAGAAAAATTCTCTGAACAAAGTCAAGGTTCATTTAAGTATTTGTTTACGTTAAAGTCTTTTAAATGACCACTTAAACCACCATTTTGCGGTGATCTTAGTGCATTTAATAATACCTATGTATCTGTGACTATAAATGTTTAGAGGTGTATGTCTAAAGTTTATACGTTACATAAAAGCTTGCAGAATTAAAGACATGTTTAACACATGCAAAGTGATTGATAAGTGCTCTGTTTTATACAATGTACATTGTATCTGGACGGTCATATAAAATGCTGTTTTCAGTCCGTCAGTACTATGCAGAGGTAAAGGCTGGCATTTGGGAAAGTCTGCTGTTTGACGCTCAGATCTGCCTCTCTTCCCCTTGACTAAATAACTATTTATATTGTATGTATAAGATGCAGTTGGACAACAGAAAATGACTCTCCTTGTGGTCACCAGCACCATTCTCTAGATTTGAAAGATTTCTATAGTTCTTATTTTAGTCAGTGCTCTGGACATATTATCTCACTGAGCCAACAATCTTGAATTTTATTTCAAAAGTAGAAGCTGGGTTAAGATATAAAGGACTTTATATTGTTCTTCTGAATAATGATTCTAATTGCTTCTTTCGCCTTCATATGCTATATGGCTTTACTTCCCTGGTATATAATATATGCTTTCTAAGATACAAGGCTTAGGGAAACACTTTTGTAAGCTGGGGCCTTCAGATTAGAGTTGTTAGCGACATTAAACTTTCCCAGCTCTGTGTTCACGTGTTCCTAATTGTAATGTAGATATTTTTAAGCAAAGATAATTAAGCACACCCTTATACAGTGCTCTCTAAACAGCGTGTCTCAGTAATTAAAGGCATTTGACATTCGTCACCCAAGGAGTACATCTGTAAACAAGTACTTAATTTTCAAACTAGTTTTCTTTAAATATTTGTTCTTATTGGTTGTGTTTTTATAAAGTTTTACAACCGTTGTCTGTTGACATTCTGCAGAAGTACAGCTTCTGACCAAAGCACCAGGGCAGTATTTTTGAGATGCTCAGACACCATTCTTAGGACAGACAGAATTAATTCAAGAATGAGCTCCAGGCAGGCCTAACCTAAGAGCCTCATTCTATGCCACCTTCCTCATAGACCCCAGGCCCACCTACCTAAGGATGGTGCCACCACAGTTGGCTGGGCCTTTTACATCAATTATCAATCAAGGAGATACCCTATAAATACGCACGATGTCCACTCCACACTTGATACTGTCTATGGTGGTCACCCCACAGTCCTAGCATCTCTGATATCTTGGGTGTCCACTACAACTGAGGCTGCATCTTCATCAGTGGCTTGTTGGCCTTTCTTCGGGGACTCTGATCTTCCTCATGCTGCCAAGCCTCAGTTTCTCTCCATGATCCCTTCAGCTCTGCAACTTTTATATTGTCAAACCCAGCATCACATGGAAAACTCTCACACATTCCCAAGTTTGGCTGATGGCTAAAGAGGCCATCTTGATCCACTCTGGACCACAGCTTCTGTGGCTGACATTAAGGACTATTTTCCAGAAGGCTTTACCTCAGTGATCCTGGCCTCTTGTTAATCACAGCTGGGTTTTCAGACCTATCTAATCAGCGTCCATTGCCCCAGTAAAGCACAGGTTTTCATTTCTAAAGATCTTTAATTCAAATATATCACACGAATGGCCCCAGTAGAGTCTTTGAGGGACCCCCAAACATCCCTCTGAAGCCTCATAAGTCAGGTCTCTATCATCTGCTTTTCTCTCCACATTCTTACCTTCCAAGTTCCCCAGAACAGCTGATTAATCTCTGAGTACCCAGAACTTTTGCAGAGTTCTAAACGCTTCCACAATCCTCACCTGCAAATGATATGGTCCGGTCCATCACAGCAATACCCAGCTCAGGGTTCTAATTTCTTTCCTAGTTTGCTTTCTGTTGCTGTGATAAAATGCTGATGAAAAGCAACTTGGGGGAGAAAAGAATTTATGTGGCTTCCAGATTAAAGTCCTTCATCAAAGGAAACCGAGGCGGGAACCCAAGGCAGGAAGCTGGAGGCAGGAACTGAAGCGAAGACCTCGGAGGGACATTGCTTAGTGTCTTAGTGTTTGGGCCTCTTCTTTGGGAACTACAGCTGCTTCAAATGGCTGACCTGGACAGGCAATTGTCTTCTTTCAGGGGCCCCCTCAACAATAGAAATGTACAGACAGAGGTGAGATCATTGCAGGACTGGCTAGCCCTCCCCTCCCCTCCTCCAGCCCCGCCTTCCCTGCACCTCTTTGGCTTGAGGGGCTATAGGGATTTGTTCCTCAGAGTCAGCTCCGGTTCTCACACCTCTGCTTATTTAGAGTTCTCACCAAAGACCTCGAACACACTGTACTGCAGTCCTGTGTGCCGTGCATGGGTGGCACGTGTGGCACATGGACGTGCATCGTTCACACTTGGAGAAGTCCAGCCACCAACACAGCACTGTCCTGAGCAGTCACTGATGTGCAGAGATGAACAGAGTGACTGGGCCATCCATTATGGAGTCCAGGTGCTTGTCTCCTGGGCGAATCAAGAGGGCTCTGACTTACTGGCCTTTTCCTCCACATCCCAGTTTCTCAAACCCCATTCAGTCCTGACCTTTCTTGTAGAACCTGGTGGGTACCAAATAGGGATTACAGCACCTTCCAGACTCCAGGAAGCAGCCCCTCAGACCAAGGGGCATCAGGGTGTCCTGACAGGAGCCTCTCCCTCTCAGGCCTGAGCAGGTCAGCCATGCCTGCAGCTTCTCGAAGAGATGCCGGGGAGATCCTGCTGATTTGTTGATGAGACAGACGGCCTGTTTGTTTTCAGAAAGTGATTGATGGGCTTTTATGTCATTCATTCGGTGTAATTCAGAAGTGGGATGACCTCCGGCCGGCTAGGGGGCGGTATGTGTATATCCAAGCCATACATCTCTGTCGTGTACGTCTATTTCACTATTATTTTATATTAACTACCCGCCCACTCACGTGTGCATATGCATTTTACTGACGCACATTCAACAACGGGGACAGGTCAAGAACCATGACTCAACAGGAGCTGGCCCTACTAGGTGCTGCACGTGCTCGCAGCGACCCTACGCAACCCTACAGGCAGCGCTCCAAGTTGAGCCAGGAAGTTGTAATCACCCGAGGGCTTGACAGAGCACGGGAGTCTTAGAAACCCCACAATTCTAAACCAGCAGGAGCAAGCTGGGGTCAGAGGAAATACAGTGTTGACAGGCTGCAGTCACTGGTCCAGGAACCCCACCCTGAGAAACACAGCCTTGAACTATTAGACTGAAGTTTGGAAGGAGAATTTGAGGCTCAGAGATGTAAAGGTCCATAGCTCGGGACAGAACAATGATGAGGGCCGACCGCCTTCTGCAGGCCTGCTTAGCAGAGTCACCCCAATATTTTTAAATGTGCAAATGAAGTAGACTTCCGGGCTGCATAAAGTGGTGTGCAGGACAGTTTAGAGGTCTTCCTGGGCAAGCTTGCTGGTTTGAAGTTGGGCTGCCATGTGTCCTCTGGGCCGCTTACAGTCTTATAGCTTTTACCTGGTAGCTTAGTGGCTGATAAGCAACTATGGGTTTTTTGCTTACTTGTCTGTGGGTAGCTGGACGATCCTGCTGTTGAGAGCCAGACTCAGTGGATGGGGGCTGGACTGGCTCGTGTCTGTGATGAGCTAAGAGGGGGTTCCTTCAGTCTGGGGGGGCCGCTTTACTAGTCTGGAGGTTGTTTTTATTTTGGCTGAGGCATAAACAGGGGAGAGTGGGCCACAGGCTTCCTGTAACACAGCAGGTGACCTGGCCTTGTCCACCCAGTGGCTGCAGGATTTCAGAAATGAAAGAGGAACCTCCAGTGGAGTGCTGAGGGCCTGGTACGAAGGTGGCATCCGCCAACTGTACCCCACTTTGTTGATTTAAACATTAGGCCTGCCAAGATCCACTGGGTAGGCAAAGAAATCCTGCCTCTTGACAGTGAATACAGGAAGCGGGAGAATTTGCAGCTGTTCAGAACACGGCTTTGCATTCTCTTGTGATGTCTGACACCGCTCCTTGTGACTCTGTTTCTTTGCTGGCTCAAGAACCAAAGAGGACGGGTCTGCTGCTTTTACGAATGTCAGGAAGACAAAAGCATTCCTTAACATCAGTGTGGCACCAGGGCTTCACCCCAAGCAATGTGCTTCTCACTTTCCATGAAAAGCTTTTAAAATGACGTCTCCTTGGAACCGCTGGCTAGAAGCATAAATATGGAGTTCAAATGGAATATCCAGTTTTCACAGCTGTATCTGTGCTAAATTAAAAAGAACAGAAAAAACAAAGAGCAACGGGCGGAAAGACTCTTTGCTGCAGAATGTGGGCATTGGGAAAGCAGCCTTCCGAGACCCTGCTGCCTGCTCTGCGACCCCAGCGTTTCCAGATCGGACTCTTAATTAATCATGGCTGCAGTTCTGCACTTTGACTCCCCGGCTGGTGTTTTATTTTCTTGTTCTAGTGCCCACATGAGCATCCTCTGGCAATAAAACATCCAGGGAGAAGTTATAAAAACATGTCATCCTGCTTACGGCATATGCCTAATTGATTTTTGAGAATCGCTTAATTGTGTGACTTTAGCTAACTAAACAACAATGCCTGTTTTCACACCCCCAATATTAGCTCATACTATTTCATGACCTGCCCCCGCTGAGACACACTCCATATTTTTGACCATAAATCTGGCCTCTGCCTAGGCTTGCGTATTTGTTCCAGCTTTGTTGTGATGGTTTTACTACATCGGTTGCCTTTTTAAAGAAATTTATGGTGGGCAATAAACATGGAGAAAAGTTTAAGGGTAGAAAGTGGGGGTTTGGGTCACTTTTTTTTGCAAGCTGAATTTTTAAATTTCTTTCTTAAATAAAATAATAAAAGGTAATTTTCTTCAGTGATTGGCCCTGCGCTGGCCTCTGTGGGTTCCACTTAACCGGCATGTGAGAGGAACACGAAGTGTGGCCTCTTTAAACAGAGGTTTGCCAAGGCTCTGCTGAGTTACATTAGTCGTGTGGAGCTGGGGAGAGTAATGTGGAAAAGTCCAGGCGCTAGGCGTGTAGGAAGGACAGAGAAGCCTTAGAGGAAGAAGTTGAAGGCATTTGAGAGAAGCAGGCCAACCTGGTTGGTGGAAATCAGTGGAACAGAAGTCAGTGTCGCCCCGGGTTATGATCCAAGCCACAATCCCAGGGGGAAGGAAGGTGAGCACGCCTCTAGAAGCTGATGATCGACCCAGGGATGCTCCCCCATGATTATTCTACAGTGTCCCAGTGTGAAATCCCCACAGAACGGAAAACTTCCAGATGAGGGCTGAGCTCACAGAACCTTCCCTTGAGACCACTGACTTCATTGTACTGTTGTCGCTAGTGTGTCTGAGTGAGCAAGTGTGTATGTGTGCGAGTGTGTATGTTCATGTGTGTATGTGTGTGCCTCCACCTGTGGTGGCTGTAGGACAACTTTGGGTGTCTCTCTTCCTTGGGCACTGTCATGTGTTTTGATATGAGGTCACTCAGACCTGGAGCTCACCCACAAGGCTGGGGCCAGCCAACTTCAGGGGTCTGTCCATCTCTACCTCCTCTACACAGGCATATGCACTGCCCCCCGCCCGCCAGGCTTGCTCTCACACGAATTCTGGGGTTCAGACCCAGGTCCTGATGCTTGCATGGCAAGCGCCTTTCTAACAGAGCCCTCTCTTGGGTCCTCAAGTCTTTCAGATCATAAAGTAATCCGAGTTATAATCTGAGCTAGCACTGATACTTGCCCTCTCACATGGCAGTGGCCCCACTGAGGTTTGGATAGGGTTTGTTCCTTCTGGCTTGTATAGGAATTTAATCTCCAAAGTCTTGTGCTAATGGTGTTGAGGTTAGAAATATAACCCAGCTATGAGATTAGTGGTAGAGCCTCTGGAAATGATTAGATTAGATGAGTTTGTTAGGATAGAGCCCACAGTTTTTGAATCCTGGTGACTTGGTAAGAGGAGGGATAGAGACATACATGTTCCCTGTGTTTGGTTGTGTGATGCTATCTGTGCCCTGCCTGGGGGCTCTGCCAGCATGAAGGCCAGCACTGGGCACTTGAACCTACAAGCCGAATAAACATCTTTTCTTTACGAAGTTAGCCTACTTTGGGTATTTCATTATACCAATAAGAGTTGACCAATACAGCAGTGTTCTAGGGTATTATGTTGATTATTTACAGTCAAACCAGAACCATATACACAGGTACTCTTATTACACTATTTCACAGACAAAATTGATTTGTTAAATGCTTACTTTGTATCCATTAATATGATGGGTGTGACTTTCCCCCCTTCTATTTAATGAATTGACTTTTCAATATAGGGATTAAATGAACTGACTTTTCAATATAGGGCTAGCTCTGCATCCTTGGGATAAACTCACTTGGCATATTTTCTTTTTACCATATGCTGTTGAATTTTATTTGCTATTATTTTGTTAAGGGTTTTTTTCTTTCAACAACAAAAGAAGGAAAAGAGTATTCAGGATATGGGCACTTACCTGAGCCATGGGAAAACCAGAGTTGCTCCCAGTTTCTAGCCGCCTGGGCTTTGTCCAGGCCAGGTCCCACAGGGTGACCCCACTGTGTCACTGTGCCAACATGGCTGGGCCAGATGGAAGAAGAAATCACAGAGAAAAAAACACACAAGAGTGAGGAAAACCAGGCCATTCTTCTGGGGGCCGTTCCATTCTTAAAAAGGCAAATAAACAGAAAAGTCTAAGATCTTGTGTGTGGTTCTGGGGGTGAGGGCTCAGCCAGGGTACCCATGCTGGGTGCCAAGCAAGAGCCATAGAAAAAAAACAAATAACTCTCCTTTTCTACCCTTTGAATACCAAAGATAAAAATTCCCAGCAATTTTCATTCAACAAGGGCCACACACCTTGTAGGCCTGTAACCCTTGCACTGTCTTTACAATCTTGCCATGACCATCACCATGAGGGCCAACCAAGGGTGACCCAGGGTACCTCAGGCAGGAGATCAGGCAAAATTTCATCTGCCTCTGGCCAGGCCTAAGCTCTTCCATATCATGAAGGTGGCAGTTTTGAACATGATTATGTCAGGACATGCCTAAATTGGACCTGTGTGGGGCAAACTGGGACATACAGTAGTCCTTCTGGAATGGACTCTGGAATTTAATAGGAATTTAATTCCAGTAGTCCTTCTGGAAAG